GATTGGCTCACCATTCCTCGTCATTACAAGATTTATCGTTGATATTTCTAGAAAAGTTTGGGCTACAGTGAAGCTATATATGCTGAAAGTTTCAGCTTGTTGTGCTGAAATTTCATCAAATAACGAGCCTACTCTTTCAGTGATTCCACAATCACTGATTATTTAATCCTTGGTTTTTATATAAAAATGTGTTCCCTCTAATCCTCTATTAAGTGCTGCAAACCGCAGGTCGCTGTGACTTTTCGTTCGAAAGTTATAAGCTATTTTTCCACCTACCTTCTTTTAAAATTTCGACAGTAGTTCTTGAAGCTAAGTGTTTGATACACATCTCTTATCATTTTGCCTATTTTTTTCTATTAAATAAAAATATAATTGAATTTTGCCATCTCTATTAGATGAAGGAAGACTAGATATCACTTGTCGTCCGTCTATATTTCATGAAGAAAGATTATGGGTCTAGGAAAGAAGCGCACGAGGAAAATTGCGCACGGAAAGATGCGCACGGAAAGTAGCACACTTGGAAAGTTGCGCACGGAAAGAAGCGCACGAGGATAGTTGCGCACGGAAAGAAGCGCACGAGAATCTTGCGCACAGATATTTTGCGCACGTAATATTGATTCCTCGTTTTCATGTCAATAAAAGTTCAATGAACAAATTAGCAAAAATAATTTATTTTTAAAGTGATTAATTGTAATATTAATAATTAGAACTACAGTATAAGAAAAAGAGCTAAAGTTCACTACTGTACAAATACAATGTCAATATTCAGTGTTTCTATTTCTAATGAAGATATTTATTATAAGGTTATATTATGTGCTAGCGCACTTAATTGATCGACAATATGATGATGAGGATTCAAAACAAGATTGAGTAAACGTTTATCCCGATGTTGATAATTTTTCTTCTTTGAAACCGGTTCACCGGCATTAACTCTGCCGATCTTCGTATGAATATGTGAGTCTTCTTCAAAAATTAATTTGTCGATGAATTTCCATAAAGTCGGATGAGAACATTGAAAAATACATTCTTAAAAGAATCCATGAACACTTAGTTAGTTTTCTTATCTGTTGTTATATACTTACTGATTCGTCTATTCCACGCTTCTGCTGAGTTATTAGTTCTCATTTGTGAATTTTTCGTTCGATCATAAACATTCCAGTACTTAATTCCAAATAGTGGACGTGCACGTGAACCATTAGCACGAAATCGACCAATATAATTGTCTTCAAAATAATCTAACATAGATTGAAATTGATCGTCGAGATGAATACTGAGTTCGACAAATGCTTTAACAACATCTTTTGGATTAATAAATGCCAGTGCAGCAATTTTATGTATTCCATTAGCAAAATCAGAATTATCTTCATATTTTTTTTGTAGCCCTTGGGTCTAGAATAAAAGTTATCTTGTACAATCAAATCGTTCTTGTAGGAGTTCCACTTTCAAAATATAGTAATCGTACCTGTAACTGCCGATGTATACTCTGGCGTAAGTGAAAATAACAACCAGAGAGAGATGCTTGTGGAAAAATTGTCGAAAATGCATTTATAGCAGCTTTTTCGAAATCCATCAATAAATTTTCAGGATTCCATGTTGGTGCAAATTCCATAATTTTATTAATCATATCTTGATAGGTAATTTCATTTTTTCGACGAAGTAAACAAAATGCTGCCGGAATAACATGTTCACGATGTACAGCATGAATAACATACAACTGATAGAAAATATCCGGAACGATCTTAAGTAATAAAAACAATGTTATTTGTACAGTATGAGTCATTTCAAAAGTTTACTTAACTTACATCAAAAGTTCCATCAACCAAGAACTCAGTTGATGATGCTAATATTGAGCATTGCTCAGGACTGCTAAAGATAAGCATTCGATCTGGACCTAAGTAGAAATATCGAAAATAAACCAACAATCAAAGTTCCTTCAGAGTTTTCTTTTATTTATGAGTTGCATATCACTCACCGGGTCCAGTGTCGATTCTTAAAAAGATTTCATTTCTTTTTGTAAATTGTAAAATTGTTGGAACTGATGGAAAGTCAACATCATTAGGTATATTTGGTAAATTATTTTCTTTTCGATGTTGACGGACTGTACGTTTGACATGATCTAAGGGTGGTAAACGTAAACGTGCTGGAGTAGAGAGTTGAGTTAAACATTTTGATAATACAGTGTCGGTTGATTCTTGTGTATTTTTTGCACGGTCAACAAGATCTTCATGGAATTTTCGAAGTGATATTTTAATTGGATCTCGATGACAACTTGTTGTATGAACACCATTGCGTTTTAAAATGTTCGCATGTGTTGTATTAGTCGTAAAATTACATGTATGTATTCGATAATGACAATTAAGTTTTTTGTGATTTTCACAACGCCAGTAAGTCTTTTCGTCAGTTTGACGATCTCGAATGTACGAATAGCCATCTAATACCATCAAAGGTCGACCTTTTGCAGAAGTAGTGAATTCGACAGAAGTAGACATGCTTGAATAATATAAGGAATAAATTGTTCTGATTTTTCCTATTCATGCGCGTCCTTTTATTTGGGATATTTTTTTTCAAAAATGAGCTTAGCTTGATTGGATTAAAGTATTAGAAGGCTTAAATATCTATTAATTAGAATTTTAAAATTTTTGAATTAGACCATGTTCCATTTTTTATTTATCTCAAGAATGAGTATATTGAGCTTGAATTTAACAAAGCTAGATATTTTTGTTCTTGTCTTCACATTTCTAATCATTGTTCATGCACAACTGATAGTCTGATATTTCGTGCGCTGCTTTCCGTGCGCAAGTTTCTTCGTGCGCAAATTTCCATGCGCATCTTTCCGTGCGCAAAGTTCCTCGTGCGCAACTTTCCGTGCGCATCTTTCCGTGCGCAAATTTCCACGTGCGCATCTTTCCGGATCCCAAAGATTATATATTTCTTTTCGTCCGTCTGTATCGCATGAAGAAAGAATAGATATCTCTTTTCGTCCGTATCGTACCAAGAAAAGAGAGTACACATGTCCCTGTCCGACGATTAGAGACCTGCGGAGTCAGGTTTTTTTATTCCGAAACCCGACTCCGA